GTAAAAGGCCTGGGGGTCGGGGTGGGGGGCAGGGAGAGGAGGAAGGGGAAGGCGGGGGTGTGCTTCTGAGAGCCAGAGAGTACACCACAATCTAGTAACTTCTAAGTTTACCATTTTTCAATAATCACACGTGCACACACACATGCACACATAACATAAATACATATAGGTTGGCTGCTTTGTAACAGCATAAGGAGAAGTAGACTAGGATTTCTTCGTAGCCAATTAATCTCTTCCTTGATTCTCTTTAAAGCTTTAATCCCAGAAAGTAGCCCTTCCCTGTTTCTGGTATCTTGTCTTCTTCGTAATCATCTCCCAGATTTTTCATTGTTGGATTCCATTTCACCCTGAAGCCTACTGACTCCAAGATTTCGACCCAATGAATGAAACGTAGAGGCAGGCGCCTCTGGAGGGAGGGCCAGCTCTGCCTGCAGAATTGAGAAGCCCCCGCTTGTTGTCACTTGGGGCCCTGTGTTTTATAAGGTTCACTTCTACAGTCGGCCGTGCAGAAGGAGCCACTGGTCATTGTTCTAATCTGCAGCCACCCTGAAGGGCATGGTCTGCACATCAGGTGGAATATCTACAGACACCCACCCTGCCGTTGAACTTGACCCGAGACCTATGAGTTGTACTGACGTGCCCATTACTTTCTCTCTGTCCCACCTTCTAGGTGCTCAGGTGACTATCACGGATCGAAAAGTAGCATTAGAATTTCTTAAATCAAATGTTGAAGCCAACTTACCTCTGCATATTCAACCCAGAGCCGTGGTTAAGGAGCTGACTTGGGGACAGAATTTGGGGAGCTTTTCACCTGGAGAGTTTGATCTGATACTTGGAGCTGATATCATATATTTAGAAGAAACATTCACGGACCTTCTGCAGACTTTGGCGCATCTCTGTGGCAGCCACTCGGTGATTCTTTTAGCTTGCCGAATCCGCTACGAACGGGACAACAACTTCTTAGCCATGCTGGAGAGGCAATTTTCCGTGAGTAAGGTTCACTATGATCCTGAAAAAGATGTACATGTTTACAAAGCCCAGAAGAGAAACCAGAGGGAGGGCTTATAGTTGGCTGTAATTTATAGGAATGTTGTCATTAAATGTGTCAATTAAGGTGTTAGCCGGGGGAATCTAACCATGTTTAATGAAATGGCTTACTGTACAAAAAGTCTAACCAAAGGTTCTCAAGGAAAAAACTGCTGTGATTTTATAGTCATATTTCACTCACTCTGAAACTCAATTAACATTAAGAGGAAGTGTGAGCTTTGGTTCATGTTGTTTCTGTATCCCATATGCTTCCTCCTGGTAAGCAGTTTTCACTGATACCATGAAGGGCTGGCGTATTGGCATCTTCAAAGAAGTGAGCTTGTGTTGCTTTAGTGAGAGGCTAAATCATGCAAATAACTTTAAACACATTCTGAGATATATGTTTAGCCCATTTTTTCTAATTTTCTGAATATAAAACAAGGTTTAACATACATTCCCTGAGCTGTTAATGCTTTCGAAACCTTTTGTCTGCCAGTTTCGGTCTTAAATAATTTTGGTGGTTTGAGATTGGGATGCAAGTTTTCTATAGTCTCATAGCATGCTTTTTGGATTAATGTCAGATGTAGGTCTATGAACAAAGGAATCAGTAAAAAATAATGTTTTAGTTACTTTTGAAAGCATGTAAAATCTTGGACCTCCATGTGCTGTGACTAGGTTATCATCTTCATAAATCAAAAGCCATAGCTTTTCCCTTCACCTTTCCCCATTCTCAAATGTTTTTGTAGTTCTTAGGCTTTCCCTGCCTCCTCATAGTGCTTAGGATGACAATGAAAGTTTTAAATCTCACCCCTCCATGAGAGGTTAGTCTCCAAGGACAAGTTCCTTCCATAGTGTACTTGTCATTGCTTGTTTGGATTCCCCAGAACACTGTACGCTTCCTGAGGGCCAGGAATTCTCTGCCTTTTATTTTGCCTCCCCAGTGTCTAGTAGTAAATTTGTTGAGTGAAAAAGATACATTCCATTTAGATGATATTGATCTTTGGGTTAAATGATTGCAATGTTGTTTCATGATTATCTTTGATAGACTTGATGAATGAAGTCGCACACCCAGTATTGCCCTAGCTGGTTTGGCTCAGTGGATAGAGCGTTGGCCTGCGGGACTGAAGGGTCCCAGGTTTGATTCCTGGTCAGGGCACATGCCCAGATTGTTGGCTCAATACCCAGTCGGAGGCATGCTGGAGGCAGCCGATCAATGATTCTCATATTTGATGTTTCTATCTCTCCCTCCCTTCCTCTTTAAAATCAATAAAAATATTTAAAAATAAAGGTGAATTAAAAGTTCTGAGCATTCTGTGGTGTATCAGTTCAACACAATTCTGATAGATGCCCAAGAAATAGAAATACCCATTATTTACCAAATCCATGAAATGCCAGTATTGTACATGAACCTGGTCTTTTAACCCCTTGAGTGCCGGGGAGCGCGATCGCACTCCTCCTGTCTTTCGCCAGAAGTGCCGGGAGTGCTATCAAAGCTTCGAAATGGCGTCCAGTTCTAAGTCTGCTTTTATTAGTGATGATGATGTTGCTAAATATGTCAATGTAGTAAAGGTTTCCTTAAGTTTTTGAATATATAACTTCATTTACTTGCGATTCATAATTTTTTTCCTAAACTGCTGTAAAATCAGCAAAAATGCCTTGGCAATTTTAGCATAGTTCCTAGGATATTGGTTGGCACTCAAAGGGTTAAAACAAGTAAAATAAGAGCCCTGCAGTATCAGCACTAACGGAAGGTCAATCACATTCAGGCATGCTATTAGAAATCATTGTATTAATTAGAATTCAGCTCCTTTGCTTTAAAATTCCTAAACTTTGGCCTGCCCAGCATGGCTTAGTGGTTGAGCATTGACCTATGAACCAGAAGGTGAGGGTTCAATTCCGTCGGGGCATATGCCTGGGTTGTGGGCGTGATCCCCAATGTGGGCATGTAGGAGGCAGTTGATCAGTGATTCTCATCACTGATGTTTCTCTCTCTCGCTTTCTGAAATCAATAAAATAATATATACACATATATATCTATGTAGATATACATACACACACACACACACACACACACACACACACACACACTTTGAATGATATATGTAAAATGATTTGGGGTGGAGAGCTTCAAGATGCCTAGATGCTCTTACCAAGAAAGCATTGATTGGGTTATTTTCATAAAGCATTATAAGCCCTGGCCAGGTAGCTCAGTTCATTCATGTCCGTTGTCCCTATTAACATCACCCTTTCACTCTCAAAAATGTCTGACTGTATAATAAATTATGTGGTGGCCACTCTTTGTAGAAGAAAAAAAAAAAAGAAAGTCAGGTAATTCCTTTAATACAGTGGCAGGTGTAACAGGCTTCATAAACACATCGTGACAATTTAGAAGTACTTAGAATAAATGCAACTGCTGTTTTCAGAAACTGAATCAATAAATAGTATGAGTCTTTTATTCATATGCTTTAAGCAAGGAGCAGATTAAACACATTCCCTCCTTTCATATGATCACAGAACTTCAGAATTATAAGGGGACCTGAGAAGTTAGCAATTACTGTTCTTCCAATGCAAACATGCGTTTTATGACATCAGAGATAGCTGGTCACACGTCTCCCATTGGTTGTCTCAATAGAGCAGTAACATTTCCGAATCTTCAAATAGGCACTGTTCAATCTTACTGAACAAAGAAATCTTGTGCTAAAAATTAGGAAGACAGTAAAATTAACTGAAGATAAGTTCTTGTTGCTTGAATTAGTTTCCTGTTGCTCTGCAACACAAGCTTGCGATATATTCTAACATAACTTTTGCTCATTTAACAAAAGTAATAAATGTAAGTCCAAGAAAATATAGCTTAACACTACTAGCAAAAAACAAGATAGAGACCCCCCATCCCCAAAAAAGAGACTCTGAGTTTTTAAAAGCATGTTTTATGTGACTGCACATAAATGTGTGTAAAAGGGCAATGACAGTTTTTACCACAAAGATTACAGTAAGAAAAAGGACTTTATGACAATATTTCACAAATTCACAAGGATCACTTTAATATACAAAGCAATGCTACCATTCTGAACACAAAGCAGCTATGTACATAGTGTTAATAAAATGCTTTATAATTCAGTACATTTTATTTCTTTACAGATAAAGCACAAAAAGATTTAAGTAAAAAAATTAAAACAGGGATGTTTCTAGAATGTAGGAAATTGTATTAGAAATGTATTTTCCTCATTATAGTTCTTTAGTATTCAACTCCAATAGCAAGATCAGAGTTGAAAATCAATACCCTGTTTTGTGCTGATAATTTTTGGGGGAGGTATTTGTTACCCCAGTCCTCAAAGGAAAACCAAAAAAAGCAAACACTCTCTAGAAACTTCCCTGATTATTGTTTCTAAAAATTTTCAAGTGATACATCCAGGTTAGGATAATTCCTTTTTTGGGTGGGGATGATAACCAACATGTGGACAAATCAGTTAGGGACAACTTTACATTGGAAAACTGCTAACTAGCACTCTTCTTTGCCACCCCTAATCTATACTCACAGAAAAATGTTGACAAATTATTTCCCACTTTTAATATAAATAATTTTATTACACACACAAATTGGAGTGGCACCTGGATAAAAATACGCCTATAAAGTATTTACCAATTCAATTTTAAAAACGTAAGAAAATAAAACCTCCCAAACACAATGCTAGATCATTTCACTTGGCCAACTAACGTAAGATCGTATCTGCAGGGATTTTCTCCCGTCCTTACCAATTTTTCAACTACCTCAGATTTACTTTCACATCTCTGAAATGCTTCTCAGACAGAAGCTTGGAAATGCTATACTTCTGTAGGCAAGCATTAAATAATGCCTGTATAAAGTCGGTAACATTTGAATTTCCTACTGCTTGACCCTTTGCAGACATTTTCTGAAGACTGTTCCTTTTTCTTTTCCTTGCTGGTGAGAATTAAAAATGTATCGTTATACCAAGCTAGGACCTGCACCCACAGTACCAGAATGCAGACAGGTCAATATTTTCTCTGTGCTAAACAACTCTGCCTGTTTTATAATATCAATTTTGCTTCACAGGCTTTGTTCTATCCCGCCCCCCCCCCTTTATTTTTTTAAAAAATAAATTTCAAGCTAAAACACCTGAAATATAATCCCTCCATTCAAACGTTATCTGGTCCCTCTTGAAGTCTGCCCCTGAGGACACAGACAAAGGCTTAAGCTACATTCACTAATCAGTAAGAACTTACCGTGAGCCTGAGACAGATGGAACTGCAGCACCCTGTTTGATTTATTTTAAATTCTTCCATACTGACTCAGCTTCAGGATATGTTCAACCCCGCAGGGATTAGTGCCTCTCTTAGCCAATGATTCTAGAAAGTCAAGGAAACCAGTTCCTAGTACATACAGTGACTGTGCAGTCAACTTAAAAAAGTCAACACATCAACATTAAAAGTATTCAAGATGTATGAAGTCACTTCAAGTAAGCCACTCACAAGTTCTGGTTGTGCTTTATACAACGGAGTGAGCAAATTTTATCCCACAGCTCTTCATCTAAAGCAGTGGTTCTCAACCTTCCTAATGCCGCGACCCTTTAATACAGTTCCTCATGTTGTGGTGACCCCCAATTTCATTGTTACAAATTGAACATAATTAAAGCATAGTGATTAATCACAAAAACAATATGTAATTATATATGTGTTTTCCGATGGTCTTAGGCGACCCCTGTGAACGGGTTGTTCGACCCCCAAAGTGGTCTCGACCCACAGGTTGAGAACTGCTGATCTAAAGGCTTACTAAACACACTTCTTTCTCCCTCCTCATCTGAAATCAGTCAAATTTAGGCAGCATCTCTTTGATGTTAACCAGGCCAATTTTAAGAGAAATAAATTTACTCAAATGATTACATGTGGTCTCCACTATGACAATAATTGCCTTGAAAATTCTTTTACCATTCTGGACAAATCCATGGATATCTTGGCATCCTATAAATAGTATTAATGTTGGGGTGAGGATAAGACACTCATTTAAAATTGGAAATATTTATTCACTTGAGTTGCTTTTCTTTCTATCTTTATCCAAGATGAAACCGAATAAGGGGTCAGGCCTCATCTTCTAATTAATGGGGCTAGACAAATCTAATTTACTGGTATTTTTCTTTTACAACTATAAGGCTAGACTGTAGGTGCTACAATATTTTAATCAATGAAAAGTTTTCATTTAAAAAAAGTCCCATTATTTGAAGAAAGGAGAAACACATAAAAAGTCAGTTGACAATTAATTGATGAGGGAATTTCTCAAGTTGATAATACCCAAACTGGGTAATTTTTAAAAGTGCAAGTTACACCAGACATTTACAAAGAATATAATGTAAATATAATCCAAACAAATATACAACTTTTGTATTAAGTCAATGGGAAACAATATACCAACAGTCTTCAGGGCTACAAAGGCAATAAAATAAAGCCTCTTGAAAATAACTAAAAATGTATATAGTCACTGTTTCTAAAACACACTTTAATGAAAAAAATCTTTAAGATATAAGCTTTATTTAATCCTGCAAAATGAAGCAGCCTTTTTTATCTTCAAAATAAAGAGACGAATTTATGCTGACTGTAGCTGATCAAAGAATTTAAAACATAATAAAAATGAAAAGAAGAAGTCTAGATTGAAGTCACTTCAAGTAAGTAAAAGCATCCTGGTTTAAACAAACTTGTTTCTTCCCAAGCCTTTGTATGATTCCACATGTCACCCAAATGGTCAAAATGATACTAGGGATTAGGCCTGAGAGCCAGAGATAAACTTCAGCCAGATGACTTCTGATTGGACAGCCTGCCTGGCTGGCATTGTGCTTTCATATACTAGCACTGCTGCTGACCTTCCATCAAAACACATATCCTGACAAAATCCCTGCTCAAATGAAAAGACCAAAATTCCTCCCCCAGGATGATTTCTGAAATAGGAGCGGTACCTTCTAGAAGCTATCTTTAAATGTTCTTACCACTGTTATAGCTGCCAGAGACAAAGATAAAAACCAAATACTCTGGGGTGGAGGGAGTTTTCAAGTGACTAGTAACATGTTTAAAAGTATCAAGCCAAAGAAAACGAACAATAATTAAAAAACAAAAAAACACTTGGAAGAAAATTAGAAGACAAAAATCAATCATGAGTGCTGGAGTAATGCAGTCCAAGAAACCACCAAAAGGTATGCAATAGAACACGCAAAAATGTAAAATTTCATCTAACTTCAATATACTATAATACTCGGCATTCCTGACTTAAGAGCTCTCAGAGCTTCAGATTATATACTGTATGTATATATATATATATATATATATATGTACACATATATCATACAAATGCCATTCCCCCCCAAGAATATCTAAAGAAAACAGCACCCATGACAGTATTATGGTTGCCAATATGGTACTTGAGTTTGAAAAAGAATGAACTTAAAATTACATCTGATATCAATTTTTTAATGTGAACACATTGGATCTAGCCCTTTCTAAACCACTTTTCAGTTAAACACTATCAAAGCTTGAAAACTAATAAGAGTAATATCAAAAATAAACCCATCCACTTCATCTCTATTCATCTGTCCTATAGATAAAAGTGCCACATGGCCCTATGTTTGCAAAGTGATACCAAACTATTTTCTAGGCAAATCAGTAGCATATGTACAAATTCCTATGATAACATTTTCATTCCCTTTTGGCCAATCTGAAGAGAAAAAAACAATTATTACTGGTAACATGGCCATTTATGTTCTTGGCTACAATTTTTTTTTCATTATGTCATTTTCTTAATAAAAATTCTCAAAGTTGCATGCATAAAAACTAACCTTTTCCCCAATTCTTGTTTTTTTAAAAAAAAGGTCTGCACAAAAGATGCTTAATTTCTATAAACTGAAATCTTCAAGTCTCTCCAAGGGTCTAAAACAGATTTAGCAACAGAATACATTTGTTATCTCACCATTTAAGTAACTAACTTCAAACCAGTGCAATCATCCTCAAGGTATAAAGGACCCGGTCTTTATAACTTAAAAATCCAACCAGCTAATATGGAAGTGATTGCCTTGATTCATCAGGGACTAAGAGGACCACCAAATTTCTAATTAAATAGAAAGCCCTAACTTTTGAAAAACGTGTAACTTTCATTTATAACTTGCTAAATACTAGGCAATTTTCATTTATAAAGCTTATGACATTCAAAATGTTCACTTTGACTAATTACGAAAGAATTCTAGTTGGTGGACAAATTTGTGATTTTGCTTGGTTTCTGTTAAACCAGTTTTGAAAAATGACATCTCTATACTGGTATACAAATAATTTTTATACTATAACATTCCCCAATAGCTCAGCAGGATAAACATCAATCTTTACAGTTGTTTGAAAGCCTTGTTGAGCATCTGGTATATTGTCCAAATATACTACATCACTCAATTCTTAGAATGATGCTCCTTCATAAACTCTGTTCATCCTTGAAAAAAGACAGTGGTTTGTTATAAACAGAAACATACCTTTTACAAATATTAATTTAAAATTTTACTTAAAAAAACTGACCCAATAATTAACACCCATCTGCATATTTTAACACATTAACAAAGTAAACTTTAAAAAATAACCCATAACTAAACATAAAATATTAATTTTCTTGACTCTTCTAAAAGAAATAACCTCAAATGAGAAATGATATCTAACATTATGTCAGTCTCCAATTTTTAAAATCCACCTTAGTTTTATTTTTATTAGTCTTATTTTTCTATTAAAGAATAATTTTTAGATTTATCAGGCTTAGTGATAAAATGAATAATTAACAAAAAGTATTGGAAACAATGTATGGTACATATAAGCACAGACTGTTCTAGTCAAGAGTTAAAAAAGGTATCTCCTTTATAGAATGACAAAGACTATACTAGTATAGCATACTGGAAACTGAAAGCATAATTATCCTTTTTAGAAGAAAACAAATACTTAGCAAGAATGATAATCTAAATATTGTAGAGTACAGCAGTCATTCAAACATGTCTGAAGAAAATTACCTCCCTTGTCACATCTAATAGTGTACTTTTCAGAGCTATATTCTTACAACTTCATTTAAAAAATTCAGTAGAGATATTCTGTTAAAGTATGTTAATACGGAAAAGATTTAAAATAAGTATTTTCCTACAACACATTTTATAAACAAACATATCACTTTGCTTTACTTAACATTTTGAAGGCTTTCCTATTGGTGGTAAAATGTAGGTGCAAATGGGAACAGTTTAATTAGAAATTGTTTTTAAGTAAATGAGTGACAATATAAATATTTTTGAAGGCGATGACAAAAACATTTATTTAAAAACCTTGCTATATAACTCAGAGGGCTGGTTTGAGTAGAGCATCTTTTTACTAAGAATTTAGTACTAACTAAAACAAAATTTGTACTTACATTTATTTCAATTTAATTTAAAATTAAAATACCATGCCTTTTCATTCAGTTGGTTACTTCTTTTAATGTATTCAAAAATGCTGAACACATACAGAACTAAATTAAGAAGCAACAACTGCCCTATGGAAGAGCTGTAGTTAATACACAATGTTTTTAAGAATCAAGGACGTTTTCAGTATTGAAGAAATTGTACATAGAAAGCACTCCAAATTCATTCTTACTTTCTTCAACACCATTCTTTAGAGGGTATTTCTTTTAATGATTTTACATAATTCACCATGAAAATGTGGAAACGTCAATTTGGCAATCACTTCTTCATTGCACCTTACTTACTTTATGCATGTGGCCCACATATTACTTCAGCTCAAGAGGCTGGGGTAATTCTGTCCCTAAGGCAATCAAGGCGCTCAGCATAAACCTTGAAATCATTAAAAAAATTTTCTTTTCCTCATTTCCCCCATCAATTTACAAGTCAATCAATTATTACTTCTTAAGGAGGATGGGGGATGAACTGCAGAAGTCGCTTCATGATTCCTGGTGCTGAAAACTTCTTGAAGGGAGAAGTGGAGGCAGGAGTTGGAACATTCACAGTTTAATGCAAAAGCACAAATGAATGAAATTCTGTAGTTGCTTTCAGGCAGTTTTGCGCATAGAAAAAAAGAAATGTTTAGAAAATAAAATGTTTATTTTGTCTTTCTGGTTGTGGCCAAGCCAGTTCTTTGTCCAATGTAACAGGTGAGATTTAAATCCCAAATTAATCTGATTTGTGGCAGTAAAGGTCCTTAAGTGCTTTTAGCTCCTCAATCAGTGTCTTGTTTTGGTTTTCAAGCACTGCCACTCTGTTTTCTAAACACTTCACATATTCTTTCTTCTTTCTACGACACTCTCGTGCTGCTTCCCTATAAGCAAAAAAGGAAATATTATGTAACATTTCTATATCACTTACTTTGGGTTGGAATACATTTCTTTTTAGAGAGTTAGCTCACATCATTTTAAATTTAGCATTTGAAAGAAATACAGAATGAATTGGAAATTGCCTTATACAAACATTTAATTTTAATATACCACAGAAATTTGATTCAAAAAACCCCAAATGTGAAAACTCCACAACCAAAAGGACTTAACAATCACTTAAAAATTACATTTTTAAAATGTTTATTAAAATGTTCTGCATCATACCTATAAAACTTGA